TGTTTATATATTGCTATGACTGCTTTTGTGCTCCAGTAGCAAAGTTGAGTATTTGCATGGAGACCACAGTGGCCCACAAAACCTAAAACATTTACTGTCTGGACCATTACAGAAAAAATTTGCTAACCCCAGCTGTAAGCTCCTTCTTTGAGGGCTTATTCAATTCTTTAACTAAACAACTCTTTGTAAATAGCACATAGCCGGTGCTATTTAGAATAGTACATAGTTTCTTGAATTAAATAAATGAGCCAAAAGAACTTATTGGCAATTTTGATGTAAGCATGACCTCCTAAGTGAGAATGGCGTTCATTTTGCAAATATTTATTGGTATCTACTATACGTCTGGGTGCTGTGGATATAGTGATTAACAAACTACATAAAAACTCCTATCTTTAAAAAGGTGCTGGGCATTGCTAGACAATTTTGGTTTCAATTGGAAACAAGAATTACAGTTTCCAATTCTAGTACTGTTGTCTAAATAATCACTGTTAATCAACTCTGCCATGTCCAATTTGAACTTACCACCCAGATACAGCCTGGCAACAAGACCTTCCTTCCTCAGCTTCTCCACAGTGTTGCTTCTTTACACTTTTATTTATTTATTCCTATTTGGTAAGCATTTGCCTCAAAGGAGAAAATCCAAGGCTGCAAGGAAAGAATTACACTTTTTTCAGTTTCAATTACGAGAGTTAGCACGAAGAAAGATCAAAAGTGGGTATTAACAAGGTAATTGATTCTTTCCTCTCACTGTGGGGAATGGCTACCACTGGTGGATCATTGAGATAGTTTCGGCCCTGTTTAGTTTCTGCCAGAAGCAAAATCCACATTCACCATGTTAACAAAAAAAGTCCATGTGGTCTTTACCAAAATGTCTCCAACAGAGTTCTGTCTCTGGGCCATATAGCTACTGGGTTCATGCTGGGGAAATGTGTGGAGAAAGGCCTGAGAACCATTTGACTTGCTAGAAGTCCAGAGCTGAAATTCTGTTGACCTGGAAGTGTGAGATTGATGTCTTCTGAGGAGAGATTCTCATACTCTGAAATGGGTTGAATGACAGAAAGCTCATTCAAGGCTTATGACACTATGGCTCCCACCTAGCTATCTCCTGAATGCCCTTGTAACAAGGGCCTCCGAATATAATAAATGGTAACATTTGTCACGGAAGTAACTCCTACCTCAAATGCATTCTGGAATTTATCATTTCCCAGTGTGTAGGTCTTGTGAGTGGTATACTCTTTTATTATCAAAAATATGACTTATCAACTGCTAATTCTGTACCATTCATCACTGGACATTTCTCTGCACTACCACCCAAATGGGCAAGCCCATTTGCAGCTATATATTTTGAAAATGAATCATTTTCCTAAGTCTGTGTTGGCGGCACATGAACATAACTTTAGTGAGTGTGTATCCGGGGAGGAACTGCTGGGTCATCGGGTATGCCGACCACACAGCCTATGAGAGTTCCAGCTGTTTCATATCCTTACCAACACTTTGCTATTGGCTTATGATGGGATCTCATTGTGGTTTTATCTTAACTGATATTTTTCTGATAGCTAATGATGTTTATCTTCTTTTAAAAAGTTCACTGGCCAGTAGGATATTCTGTTTTGTGAAGAATCTTCTTGTTATTCTTAATGACTTGCTAGTATAGGAGTTTTTTATTCTGCAGTTTTAATGGGATACATGTATTCCAAAGAATAGTCTCACTCAGTGGTTTGCTTTCTTACTGTCATAATGGTGCCACTTGATAAGCAGAAATCTTTAATTTTAGCTCATCATTCTTTTCTTCTATGACTAGTGCTTTTGTGTTTTGTTTAAGTGTTGGGGTCCAACCCAAGCAGGTCCAGGAGTTCCCAAAGGTGTGGACAGAGACAGCGTTCAGTTGATCAGCAGCCTAGCCAGGTTCTCTAGCCAGGTTCTAGCCAGGATCTCTAGCCAGGTTCTGTCTTTTATTGTCTTGTTACATCTGTATTTATACCAGTTGATTTTAATCCTATCAATTTCTATTCCAAAGGTTAGGGCGTTTCTTATCTCCATTCCAGGGAGTAAAGATTATGTAGCTTAAGCGTGATTGTTC